GCACATATACTGAAAGCCCAAAGTGTCCTCTTTCAGATTATGTGCGATTTATTGCACTTTGAATGGTTTTTGATGGTGAAAATAGCGGTTTTCTGTGAGTAGTAGTAGAAATATAAGGTTTTTTCAGAAATTTTCCTTAGTTACGGAGATGTGACAGTGGTCAACAAACCTGTAGACGGTTCCAAATGAGAAATACATATACATTCTGTTATTATAATTAATTATAGCACTATGGTGGGTTTCAGAACCAATTTTTTGGACCCCTTTTCTACGAAAAAAGAGGTTTTGAGCGATTTTCAATGCTAGTTTACATTCACTTTTGCTCATTCTAAACATGTATAGGTTATTTTCGGTTGTGCATCTGCTGAACACAGTTAGAGGGTACTCTCTGACATAGCAAGTAGAAAAAAATCAGCATTCTATTGTTTATTGTGCAAATAAATCAATAAAAGTTTCAATTGAAAAAACAACATCTGGCTCTTTATAACAATCATAGTTCTTAATATCTGATGGAAATCTGCGTCTAATAATTTGTTTTATCAAAGCCGACCACTCATATGTCTCATAATTTTTCGAAGTTAATTTTTTTGCTGACCATCTCTACCATCATCGTAGTCGTTTCTGCTTCGAGTCTTTTATACATGACGAAATTGCAGTATAGAGATCATGACAGTCATAGTGGAATTAAAAACTGTTTCATATTTTTATTCAATTATGTCACTTAAAAAGAGAATTTTACGCGGATTTCAAATATATATAACACTGATTACTTTTGTCACATTCACACCCATTTACACATTTCACAAACTTGTTGATTCGTTTTCTCAAAATCGCTTTTTTGAAGAGTTAGGAACCAATTTCTCAGACTGTAGAAGAGGTAGCGAGCTGCCGTTTTTTAGAAATTCGATTTCCTTGTCGAGATAACTGGATACCACTGATGTCAAAAAACGCTAAGTTCCGAATTATTGCAGAAAAATGTCTCGGAAATCCGAACAAAGTCGAATTTCGAAAAAACGGTGTATACATTTGTAGACTCAAGTCTTCTCTTTTATTTATAACAAACGCTAGCTCTCTACCTCTTCGACAATCCGAGAAATCGGTACCTTATGAAGACCACCATATTGAGGACTAATTTGTCAATAACTCGTTAAAACAAAAGTCTTATGAATCAAAAATTTGTAAGAAATTAAGTTAATGCAACACACATATTCTCTGAAAGTTTCAGCCAAATCAGTCCACGAATAACGAAAAGCGATTCCTGAGGGGAGGGGGGAGTCCCTTAATATTATCAAATTGACACTGAATAAAAATATACAAACAGTTGTATCAGTTGAATGGACCTGAACTTGATCTTTTTTCAGGCCTTTAATGGGAATTTGAATAGTAACAACACTATCTGTTTGATAGAAGGAATGTCTAAAAACAACAACAACAACAATTCATAAATATTTATAGAAAAAAGAAATATTAAATAGACTTGATTTTTGCTGGTGGCAATGGAAGAACAGGTGTAGTATTCGTAGTTAATTTTTCTTTTTCAATAGAAACAACCATAGTAACAAGATTTTGCTCTAAATTAAAATAAAACTACAATTTAATTAATCAGACAAAAGAAAATCATACCTGCTAATTCTTTTTCACATTTATGTTGCCATATTTTCAGTTGTTCATTAGCAGCTTAATAAAAAAAAAAGAATAAAAAATATATTTTTATAAAACAAAATGAATAGAATCAATTTACAATCAAATTCAAGTCCACGAACAAATACTTGCAGAGCCTCTTCTTTTAAATCTTGATTGTATAATGAAACACCTTTACGAACATATGCTTTAATATTTGTTTCATCCAATTTAATTGCATCATTACTGTCTTTTAATGCATCTAGAACAAAAAGTAACATAACAATAGAGTCATAACAATAGCTTGAAAAACAAAATTCGCATTTACCTGCATAATTTTTCAATTTTAATGAACATTGAGCACGTGATGCTAAGATTTTGGAAGTATTTCGATGATCAATTTTGTCATCGTTCACAAGAGCTTTTGTATAAAACTAGAAGATAAATGTTTTATTATAAAAGGAAAGAGAAAGTTTCTTCCTAACGAACGTCATATGCTTCTTCATATTTTTCGTCAATAAAAGCTTCATTTGCTTCTTCAAAGGCATGTTTCGACATGATAGTTGGCTAACGGTGTATGAGAATAAACGAAAGAAAGAGTTGAAAACGGACGAAGTAAGAAAAATACTGAAGAAAAAAATTAAATTCTATTCGTTTATATATTCTTTCGTTGACCTTTTTCTGAAAGATATATGAGATGACGTAAGATGTAGAAATGTAACCCGACGAGTTGATCGGCGGCGGCAGCGGCTGAAAATTTTCAATTTTTTAAGCGTTCAACGGCGGCTGTAAAAAATCTTTTTTTCCCGTTCATGACGACAGCGGCTGAGATATTTCACTGACAAGAAGGGTGTGGGTGTAGGTCCGGGTGTGTAGTGTGGGTGTGAATGGGTAATACTAACACGCACACGTACATCTACACCCATACCCGTACACAGATCGAGATGTTTAAATTTTAAGATATTTAGAGTTTGTCATGTGTACACACTACAAAATTTCATTAATTTTTAGTTTTATTTTTTTCGTCATGGTTGGATAGAACACGACTATTTACCTTGAGAAGAAGCAATATCACACACATTCAAAAGCAATTTGACAACAATTAAAATATAAGGTTATTACCCTTATAATTAAAAAAATGTTGTCTATAACTTCGTATAATTTGTTTTTTAATATGCATGATATTATTTTTTTCTATGTAAATGATTCTGCTCCATCCAACCATGACGAAAAAAAAACTAAGCGTTGATGAAATTTCGTAGTTTGGGCACATAACAAACTGTAAACTTCTTGATAGTCGAATATCTCGATGTGTGCACGCTATTGGCAGCTCATATTTTTAATATAGTTGATTTGACAGTGAAAGCATTCATCTGATTCGACTATGATCAATCTCCTTAGCTTACAGTATATGGTCTTTTCCTCTAAGGTATATGATGGTTTTGTTATCTTCATTTTACTATGAAACACTTTTGGAAACAAAATATGAATCGATAAACAACAAGAAGTGAAGCCTTTTGTGCAAGTATGTCAACATAATAGTCCTTGCTGTGCAAAAAGTTACTATTTCTGATTAGTTTTCGATTTCCGAAAAAAATTCTGATTTTTTTCTGATTTTGAAAACAAGAATTTTTGATTTTTAAGTTTTTCATCTAGTAACTGTAGTGTAAATACCAGAAGCGATTCTTTTCTTCATTCTTCACCGAAAGCATAAGCAAAAAGTGCCTATGTGGTTCAGATGAAAGAAAAAAAATAGAATTACTATCGAATTCAAAAATAAATAAACAATTCTGAAAAAGTAAAATTTCAATAGGCAAAAACTTATTAATAAAAATTACAATGGGCAATTGCCCATTTGCCCCTTCCTTGGCTACGCCGCTGCTTATTATTCACTTAGTTTTCAAGATAATTGAGTAAGTTTTGCATCATTTGATTCAGCAGCTTTTTTTATTCAATAATATAAAAACTTCATGATTCTCTTTCAAGTTGTCTGAAACAAAAAGAAGACTTTCATGCATTCGAAAAAAAAGCAGTTCTTATTAGGAACATTCACTATATTATGTCAAAAAGCATAGATGACCACAAATAGAATCATTAGCTGGTTTTAGTGGAACATTGAGTATTTTGACAAAAAAAATACCATTGATTTGGTATCATTGTGAGCAATGGTTTAATGGGGAAAATAGCTAATTAATCTTTCTGCATCACTTGATTTACTCACAACAAGATACAATGCATTAAAATGACATCATTCGGGTCTTTGTATATGTATGTGTATCAGGATTTATTTGGCATTGGACAATTTTTATCATTTCAAAAAACCCATGGACAATTGCTTTTGAGTTCGGAGGCAATTGTCTAACGACTGTACTCCTGGCTATGCCAATGGTCTGCACCATCTTGTGAATGGTATTCCCTCTACCGTTAACATTTTGTACGGATATTAATACGAATTGTCTTAGACGTCTTTCTACAAAAGAATACGGCTGTCTATCTATTTCCAAACACGAGCAGTCGCACATATACGGGTTTTGTATTTTAGTTTCATAACACAATGAATCTTAGCTGTTTTTTAGTCTTCTCTGTGACATGGTCGAAATAATGAACATCAAGTTTTTCAAAATTTGATTTGTGGTAGAAGAAATCATAATCATTTCTAGCACTGATATTCTCAATCTCAAAAGTCATACTCATAAATGTTTCTACGTTATCGAGGATCGATAAGAGAAAGTACATCGCGTAAGGTACATGGATAGTTGAGGTATCACAGAAAAGATAGTTTTCCAATATCATCACATGTACATGTGAGGTGAATATCATTTCTTTCGGTGTCCGAATTTTGACGAAACACATCACCTAGAATCGTTGTTTCATTTTTTATTCTGTGATTTCTTCATTTTTATCATAATCCAAATTATTTGCTGCGTTTCCCTTTCTGAGAGTGAGGATAGGACGACGATAAAATAAAGATTAACACTGGCAGCCTCATTCATCCTTACCTTTTGTTTATTATTGTACTCTTCTCAATCTCATAAGTAGCCATGAGAGCAAGATTTAGGTCCCAACAGGAAAATAAAAGAAAGTGCGGTTGAAATTCCAGTCCACCGTTTTAAACAGTAAACTGCACTGTGACGTTTCCGGTTAGATCTGTTGTGTATTATTATCTACTCTCAGAGATGGAACCGCCACCGGTAATCGGCCGGTTCGGTATCGGTCTGGATTTTGGATCGACCGGTCCAAATCGATCTGACCGGTCTAAACCGATCTATACTGCTCTATATTTTTCACTTTCCTGCTCTATGATTGTATTCAAGGTACGAAGGTAACCCACAAGAGAGTTCACTGCGCAAGAAGATTTCATTTTAAGCTTCAGCCTGTTATCTGTAGATCGATATTTTGTCGATAGGTCGGGTTTTCCTGATAAACTGGGGTATCATCAGTATCCCGGTCATTACCAGTAGACCGGTTCCATCTCTGTCTACTCTCACTGCTTGGTTGAATTGACTGTTCATACATGAAGTTCAACCATTCCTTATCATTTCTTCTTATCATATACTTTGAAATTGATTATGATGAATTGCATTTGAATAGTTGATTCTTATGAATTTTGGCGATTGAAAACTGAATATGATTGTTGTATGCTCCCGTCATTAATTTATTACGCTCCCTTTGACAATAATCTATTATAGACAGCGATTGTTTTTTTTTCAAATGGATAGTGAGCTGTTCAATAAACGCAACGAATATTTCATTAATTCGAAACCAAACACCAACATAGCTGAAAAACTAATATAGTCATTTTTAAGTCGTTGAAAATGTCTATTTATGTAATATAGTTAATAGAATTTTACATATATCCAGGAAAGCAACCTTAAATTTCTTATTGTTTAAGTCTTTTACTGTTGCTATTGCAGCATGTGTTTGTTAGATGTTTTCACGAACATAAAAAACTACATCAACTTTGAGACACCTTTCTTTTTATTGAAAACGACTACAGACGAGCTTCTGAAAGTTAAGTTTCGTGTTTTTCTCTTCCCAATCCGATAAAGCGGTCAAAAACACTAAAGGACCCTGCTGGATTTGGTGATTTAGTTGGAACAAGAACGTCCTATATATGGTTTTGTAGAGAATTTTGAGGCGCATCGAAGAGTATATAGAAAGTTAAATTTTCATTGAGTTTTCATGTCATAAGAGCCCATATATCGGGTATTAATCTATGGGAATTTACAAATACTGGGAGCTTTATGATGCTCTGTAATAAATATATGTGAATCTCGTTTTAAAACACAATTCAATACAGTTATGGGTGCTTTCCAATTTTTTATAATTGATAAGTTTGACTGCAGCTATTTTATAATTAAAAAGGGTCGTTTCCCATAGGTCTAGGCTGTTTATTGGTAAAATGACATTTCAGTGTGCTCAGTCCTGTACCACAGGACAATTGAGCAACAACGTGAAACTTTCTCAAAAACTGCATACCAGTAGCCTCTACATGTTTCATAGATAAAATCTTTCGGAACAGTAGGGGCTGACTAGTAGCATATGAGATAGTAGTGCAAAATACTCTATTTTAGCTAATTATGACCCAGATATATTGCCAAAATCTTGACAATATTCAGCACTTCTGATAAAAACTTTTATCTATAAATAATCATTGAAGTATGCCTCATCATTTGACGTAAATAAGTTCTTTGCAGATTGAAAGAAAACTTTTCGAGCCCCAGACCTCTGGAGGGGGGTACGGGTACACGGAAAAATTTTTCTTTACACTGAACACCAACTCTATATGGATTGTTTTAGAGTTTCATCCATACATAATATATGCATGACTGGAAATGAAATTGATAACAGAATTTCAAAAAAAAAGACCATTGTTTGGAACCTTATCCCCATGGCCCCCTTCAGGGATCTGGGGCTCGAAAAGTTTTCTTTCAATCTGCAAAGAACTTATTTACGTCAAATGATGAGGCATACTTCAATGATTATTTATAGATAAAAGTTTTTATCAGAAGTGCTGAATATTGTCAAGATTTTGGCAATATATCTGGGTCATAATTAGCTAAAATAGGGTATTTTGCACCACTATCTAATATGCTACCAGTCAGCCCCTACTGTTCCGAAAGATTTTATCTATGAAACATGTAGAGGCTACTGGTGTGCAGTTTTTGAGAAAGTTTCACGTTGTTGCTCAATTGTCCTGTGGTACAGGACTGAGCACACTGAAATGTCATTTTACCAATAAACAGCCTAGACCTATGGGAAACGACCCTTTTTAACTATAAAATAGCTGCAGTCAAACTTATCAATTATAAAAAATTGAAAAGCACCCATAACTGTATTGAATTGTGTTTTAAAACGAGATTCACATATATTTATTACAGAACACCATAAAGCTCCTGGTATTTGTAAATTCCTATAGATTAATACCCGATATATGGGCTCTTATGGCATGAAAACTCAATGAAAATTTAACTTTCTATATACTATTTGATGCGCCTCAAAATTCTCTACAAAACCATATATAGGACGTTCTTGTTCCAACTAAATCACCAAATCGGGAAGGATCCTTTCAGTCATTTTGAGTATGATGTATAGTAGCCAAGAGTTTTTAGCTTTTCTTTACATTCCAAATAAACCTTGAACTACAACAACTTCACATCCAGGAGCAACTGACAGCTTTTTTACAGTTTAACGAGAACACTAGTAGAAGTTGGCTCATTTTGGAAATCAAGAGTTAACAAGTCGTTATTTAGAAAATGCTATGATGAAGTTTTCTTCCATGATCAATTTTTTGATGAAGAATTCTTTAGAAAAATTTTCAAGTCTCACTCATAAAGAAATATATGAATGAAAATATCACGACCACTTTTTATTCAGAGATGCCCATTATTCGGTACTTATCAACCGAAATGTTGACCACTTTCTTTTTTGTATGTCACCATCCATGAGTTTCATTTTGTTAGAACGAGAAAATCAAGGTGAGATGTTTCACTCACTGTACTGGATCTCAACTTTCTTTTTTTTCATTTATCACACTTTTTACAAATGAATTTGTGTCACCAGACTGTTACTTATCTCTTTTTTGCTAAAGTATTTATTGCCTCTTCGCATGATTTATCTTTCAGATTTTTCACTTTCTTCATCTTTCCACTAGTAACGATTATGGGCAATAAAGGCGTCACGGAAGGACCACCGAAGCAGCTCACGGCTAAACGTTTGTTCATTCTCTCTTTCATTAATATTTTCATGAGGATTTTTTATTTTAGAAATTGCAATGCTCAAAACTAGTACCAACTATAGCGAAGCGGGTAGGAAAACACATCCGGTTGATGTGATTTAGCTGTTCCATTTGTATTTTTTTAGAAATTCGAAAATGGCACACCGTAATTAATTGTATATATACACTTGTATTTGTGAACTCAGTTTTGTTTCTAGAACTTTCTTCGTGACTGTCCAACGGGCAAACTTAACAAAACACAATTTGTTCATATGTATAAAATATTCTACTCAGGTGGCAACGCGGATGCTTTCTGCCAGTAAGTCAACAGATTTTTTTCTATTTCATCTTGCCTTTCTCTCTCACTTAAGGCTTGCATTTTCCATGTTCGATGCTAATCGTGATAATGTGATTGACTTCAATGAATTTCTCCTTGCTGTTGCTGCTACGTGTCACGGAGATTTGAATAATCGACTCGAAGTGGTGTTCGATATGTGAGTTCGGTCGAGTAACCTTGTGCATGTTTTTTTTTCTGTCATTCAGATGCGATACCTCGGATGACGGACACATCGATCAAAAAGAATTGGCTATTATGATTTCGGCTATGGTACGATTCCAATATTTCTATTTCCGTTCTTGTTTTTCATGAAGCAAAATATGCTAAATTTCAGTATGACTTACTGGGCGAAACCGATCGAAAAGCAGATCGTGATCCTGAAAAACGTGCTTCAGAAATCATCAGCAAGCTAGATGTCAGTGGAGATAAAAAACTGAACAAGCACGAGTTCATAGTTGGGTATGTGTATGGGAATGAAGTCAAACGTCAACTAATCATGTTCTTCTTTTAGATGCACAAAAGATCCCATCATCCGTCATTTGCTGGCACCCAACGCTTGAAGGCCTTTTTCATTATTGATAGACATTGTTTTTACTCTTTCTCTTCCCACGTAACACAGACAGAATTTGATTTTAACTTGCTCACTATAATTCCTTTTATTTTAATAATCAATAACAAGCACTATACTACACTGTTGAATCGAGAATAGTGTGTGGGTGTGTGGGATGGGGTGCGGGTGGAGTCTCTGTAATTTCGCCAACAGTATGTTCGCCAATGACGAGCGTCCTCACGAAATTCGCCAATAAACAATTTTTTAAGATTACGGTGTTCGCTAATTGGCGAAAAGCTAGTATGAATTCGCCAATAAAAAAATTTTTTGGATCACGGTGTTCGTCAATCGGCGAATTTTTTGGGAGTATTCGCCAATTGTGATCACTGAAGTTATGACACAACTGAATTTATAGTGTGAACGATATTGCGTATTTAAACGGGATGTGGATGTGAGTGAGCGCGTGAGCGTTAGTGTGGAACAAGAGAAACAATCATTGTTACCCCTCATCCACACCTACACACGAACACAGGCTTTTCTCTCTAACTATATCGTGATCAATCATGTGTGGTCAAATGCGAGATATTTGCAACGTAAAAAGTAAATGTACACAGAAGGCATTGTGTTTCGGTTCGATCCTATGTGCCGGCAAATAACGCAAGGCGGGGTGTGGGTGTGAGTGTGGGTGGGTGTGGGTTAGAGACCTGCGGAGTCAAACTTTTTTGACTCCGACTCCGACTCCGACTCCGAAATTTTTTTCCTATATAACTCCAACTCCGACTCCGGAGTTTTTTTCTAAATGACTCCGACTCCGACTCCGATATTTTTTTTCTCAATGACTCCGACTCCGACTCCGAAAAACTCCGAAAATTTTTCTTATTGTAAATCAGCAGCAGGTCACATGTACGGAGATATTATGTAACTTAAAGTTAGTGTACCATCACAAATGAGGTCTGCTTGGCGATTATTGTGCATGAATAAATAGATATGTAAAATATTAGATAGAAAAACTAAAGCTGATTGAGTTTTCAAACATTTTTTAAATATTAAATATAAAGAGTGGTCGGACACTTCCGACCCTTCTCTCTAGATTGACGTTATTTATATGAAATACATATATAGACAGTTGATCAAAGTGTGTAATTTTGTAGAGAACGATTAGAGCTATCATCGGAAAAGAAATAGCTCAAACTGTGTCGGACTAATCAGAAGTTATAGTCATTTAATTAATCGTAGTTTGGAACAGTGGTGTACGCAAGGGGGTCCGCGCCCCCTCCCTCTTGAAGAGAAGTTCTCCGTGGGAGAGTACGGGTAAAAAAGGTACTACAGCACAAATTTTTTAAAAACTCCATTACGGGACCTCTCCTTGAGAACTTGGGCCCCTTCCTTGGAAAATTTCTGCGTACGCCGCTGGTTTGGAATGATTTCCGTCAAGTTTTCGTTTACTTGACGTTAGTATTTTGAAAAAAACTGCTATTTAAGAAAAGAAAAAAAATTTTCGGAGTCTATCAAATTTTACATCGACTCCGACTCCGACTCCGAAAAAAAAAGTTTGACTCCGGTTCGACTCCGACTCCGAAAAAATTTTTGTTTTCAACTCCGACTCCGACTCCGACTCCGTCGGAGTCGGAGTCGGAGTCACTTTTCGGAGTCTATTGCAGGTCTCTAGTGTGGGTGTGGGTGTAGGTGGGTGTGGGTGTGGGTGTGGGTGTAGGTGTGGGTGTGTGGGTGTAAGTGAAGAGAAGATAAACACCCACACCCACACCCTTTACAAAATGCTTCTTCTAAATTATTTCTTATTTCGTCTAAAAAATTCTGAATTTTATTCTTTTGAGTTGCTAATGTTGCAAATATAGTACTTTCGAAACAAAAGTATTTTCTGTCGATTGTACGCATTTTTTATGAATAACTAAACCGAGACATTTTTTTTCGAAGAAGAAAATATGTGGTATTTGATAAGAGAAGAGTGAGACTGACATCCATTGTTTTTTTTATCCGTATTCATTCTTACTAAAGAAAGTTCTGATAAAACATACAAACTACAATTATGTCACAAAGAGCACAAGTTGAAAATATCAAAAAAGAAGACGTAAAAGCGGAGGTAACCTTTACTGATTTGACTATTTTTGTTAGCATTATGTTTTTTATGATTTTTATCTTACAGCTTAACCCTTTGAGTTCTGGTGTTACACATACGTACCACTTTGAAAATTTTCTAATCCTCGAGTTTTTGAGAATCTTAGACAAATATTTTCTAAAAATATGAGAAGTCGGTAGAGGCCACTACAAGCTTGCACGAATGATGAGGTGTATGGAAAGCATTGACAAGTGTACCATGCCCAGTTTCTTTAGCCTGAAAAAAGTTTGATTATATAACTTGAATTTTAAAAAGTTAATATCATAATTCATCGTGCTATCACAAAAGACTATACAAATATTAAGTCATCTTTGAGCGACCTCCATTCCCACTCAAATCGTCAATTATACTTATTGGCTGACTCCTACAGGACTCAAAGGATTAAGGAATTGGAAGAGGAATAAAAGGTATTGAAAACACAACTTGATGAAGCGCTCGAAAAAGGTGAAAACGCTGACAATGACGAGGGTGCAGCTACGCAAAATAAAATTGCTGACAGCTTGGAAGCAGATTTACAAGATCTCAACAAAGAGATCGAAGAAACAAAGGCAAAAGCTGATGGTAAATCGCAAGATTTGAAAGATATCAACAAAGAGACCGAAGAAACAAACGCAAAAGCTGATGATAAATCACCATAATTTATATTATAATAAACTGATGTTCTTTTTTAAGTTCAAATAAAATAAATGTAGTATCGGCTAATTATAGTATTATAGTTAAATGTAATTTTCATCAAATAAACTCTTTTGATCTTTTTTAATTCATTATGATCAACAAAAATTTAGGGAGCATCGCTTTTGCCCTTAACTTCCTTCTACTTGAAGAAAGAAAGTTGATTTCTGTCTCTACTCATGCAGAAAAGACGCTTGTTAAACAAATTTTTCAGCAAAGAATAAGCTAAAATCTTAGTGAATAATACATTTACTGATTATTACTTGCATATTTCAATGGAAATTTTTAAAGACAATGCTATACAATTCATTATCTTCAACTCTGTCTAAATGTGGAGGCTTAACTCTTCCAATTCTATTTTCTATATTTAGAGATCTTTTGAAAATTTATTATCTATTAACTTTTTCTGTAAACTAAGCAAAACAAACTCATTAGCCATTTTGGCTTATGACAGAATACTCATGAACATTATAAAACTCATGGCTATTTTTGAAGAAAGTATACTTGAAAGTAGGGTGCGGGGGTGTGAATGATGGAAATATACACACCCACACCCGCACGATTAAATCCTTCTGCACTCTGGTACCAAATTTATTTTGTTTTTCGTGAAGAATTAGCAAAAATTTATTTAACAAGTGACCGGCAGCTGAACTAATTGGTTGAACTGTATACGTGTGAGTAATATTGTGTTTCTTTTTAACAGCTACTTCTATTGTTCGTTCATCAGTAAATGAAAGAGTTCTCGGTGAAACATATTCCTGTTGAAACGAACAATGATCACTGTTTAGAATTTCATGTGGAGTATATGTTGAAATTAATGATCTTTTGCTTTCAATCCAATTTCGGGCATCTAAAATATATTATTTTTAGATACATATAATGCATTTGAATATGGTTGATGCATACCATTTAAAGTACAATTTTTCTTTTTGATGTTGCTCGGGTAATAAGTTTATTGTATTTTCTTGAACCTGGTGATGAATGATTCACTTGCCTTGAAGGTATTCCGACCTAAATCTCTTGCCTTTTGTATTGCAAAAAGTTGTACATCAATGTCATGAACTGCTTCTTTTTCAATGGCTCTTTTAATATAAAATTCGTTTAACATGAAATTCTTGATTTTATTTAGTTTTTCAAGATTTGAGCCGTTTCGACTAATATACTCTCTGAATCTTTTGATATAAGTCATAGATTTAACTTTTCGAAATCTATGCGAAATACCAGCAATTGTATAATTTGGATGCTGATCAACCCATTCAACAATACTTTTCATTTCTTCCCAAGTGAAATAGTTTCTAATATCTGGATCTTGATTTTCTTCAACATCATCTGACTCATCACTACTGTCTTCATCCATCATATCATCGTATTCATCGTCAAATTCAAGAGAGTCATAGGTGTGGAGTTTATTGAAGCAGCTGTGTTTGAAAGCCTTGAGTATTTCAAATAACTGCTGCGAAGCAAATATTTCATCACTCGTTGTTGTTGTTTTAGCTTTGGAACCGAATTCAGCTTTAGTTAAATGAAGAAGATGTTCTACGATATTCACTAGATTCATACTTTTATCGGATTAATGTTATCTTTTCAAAGCAATAATTTTTATAGAAGATTAGGAAATATGTTTCTACAAGCTCACATTCGATTGCAACAACATTGAACCAATCTTAGAAAAAATATCGATATATCGAATATTGAAGCATCGATGCATTTGATTGCGACATCTTATGTACTAGTTACTGTTCTTACAAGAAGCTTATTTTATCTCATTCATACGTAACTGAACCTTCTGAAAATATCGAAATTTGTGCAAGATTATTTAAAAAAATAGTTAATGCTGCAAAAAAACTAAATTCGAAAAATTCTGTTGTTATTATGCCTAAATTTTCAATACCTTAAAATTTGAATATCTCGATCTAGGCGCGCCACGGGCAGCTTATATTTTCAGTTTGGTAGTTTCTCGTTGAGGGCTATCATTTGACACCAAAATAGTTAAGGAAATCGTCTGACATGACAGATGGGTCCATTGCAAGCATATTAATGAAATAGCTGCTGCTCATAATGAATATTTAAATTGGACAATGTTAAAGTAAATTTTTTTTGTCATTTAGGAAAAACAGAAATAATAATCTTTTGTTTTTCAGTTGTCTGCTCACTCCGAATGCAGCTCCAATTCTCAATGAAGTGAATCGTGTTTTAACATTAATAATACGTTTTCATTGTCAACTAAAAACATTTTCTTGGATTCTTAATGCAACTTATACAGATCCATCTGATACAAGTGTACAAGCATTACGTACAACATTTGAAAAATATTATATTGCTGTACTTTCACTTTTTAAAGGTTGGTATTGCAAACGAATGACACAAAAAAAAACATTTCTTTTTTTCTTTTATCTTTAGTTTTATCAAAACTTGTTGAAAAAGGATATAAAACATCATTATCTGATTTACTTGTACGACTTAATCATAATGGTTATTATGATCAAATAACTACATTTTCCACTCGATAACATTTAATCATAGAAATATTTTTCTTAATGTGTCAGATTTTTTTTTAAGTTGAAAATCTTCATTCAAACAAAATCAAAAAAAGAAAACAGAAAACAGAAAATTTAATTTATGCTCTATAATCAATGTGCAAGAGTCCAATAACAAACATCATAAATAAAATAATCATAGTTGATTTTATGATCGATGCTGTTGATTGAAAGAATTTATCAAAATCAAATTTTGTAATTAGTGTATTTTTGATTTGTTTGATATTTTCTATTGAATTACAAGCACCATATTTTCGGCATGCTAATGTTATTCTATCTAATTGAGTATGATTATCAAGAAAAAATGTTGTATAATAATCTAAAAAGTTTGTTACAGCTTTTCCAGCTGGACACATTGCACATATATCTATTTGTTGAAAATATTGAATAATACCTATACATTGTTGACAACTAAGTATATTAGTTTTAGGACAATATGTCATATTTGAAACTTGTAAACATAAACTACCATAAAATTCTGTTGTTGGAACAATTAATGTATCAAATTTTTGTATTTGTTCATCAGTAGGAAATACTGTTGAAATAATAGCAAGTTTTATATTGTCAACAGTGTTACATGGAGTTATATTTGAAGGTTTACAATTATAACTAATAAATCTATTAGTTACATATTCACCAGACCATACAGTTACTTTACGTTCTGTCTTTGCTACAACGCTATCAAATGGTAAATCTCGATCTACATCGTAATATACTGCACTTGTACCGTCATCAAACCATCCAACATATACAGAACAACCATTTTCAGCTGTTATTATTTTACAATCATCTCTAGTTGGAGATGGAATATTATCAATTGTAATTGAATAGTTAAAAATCATTTCTTGACATTCATGACATTTATATGCTAAAAGATATCTTGCATGAACGATTAAGAATAATTCAAAATAATAATTGAATAATATCATTATTAAAATAATGAATATATCTAAAATGATATGTGTTTGAAACAGATAAAATAATATGTTTATCATCTTTACAAGTCAACAAAAAGAATAGAATATATGTATACCTTGCTGACTCATGAGAACTAAAGGAATAATTCGAAGTTTTTCAGTCTATAGTATACATAGTGATAAGCGGGACCAATTGTTCTTGGTTTCGACCCTAGCTAGAAAATTTGTTGCTTCTGGCTTCATCCTTAGTAATACATGTTCTAGCGACAAATGCGATATCATTTTCTAACAGTGTCAATGAGTTTAAGACATTCTGCATGATTTATTATACTATTCTCTTAGAGATTCATTAGTTTTCTTAATTCACTGATATTATGTCTATTCTGCTCGTTGTTTATGTATTCGATAACTGTTGTTTACGAAAACAAAAGGATTAATAAGTCGTGAAAATATAAAATTTGATGCAAGTTTTGCATGACCAGAGAAGATATTACTCTCAATAAGAAGGTGTTGATCCTGGTTTCGATTTCGTCTTGTCTACACCTAAGCGGATATCTTAAATGATGATGAATGTTCTTGGTGATATCTACAATTAAATTCTTAGAAATGTCTGATAGAGTCTATATCGATTTCAAAATCGTTGTCGTCGTTAATCTTTATCAGAATAACTTATCTTCTTGATTTTATACCTTATTTCTCATGTAAATTTTCAATAAGCTAAAAAATATCTTATATGTCTGATAATCTATATTAAGAACAATCAAAACAAGAAATGACCTGTACTCTTTCCTAGGCATAAAACAACAACAGAAATAACACTTGATATTGTGTATCTCATATTGAAGAAAAGGAAATGCAAACGACAAGATAGAAGAAATACATGCAATAGTAAAAAATAACCTAAAAATAAAAGAATGAAGATTATTTCAATTCAAAAATTGATTGTTTTTTCATTATCTGATATAGATTAATATGTCATTTTTCTCACTCAAGTTGTCTATTATTTTCACTGATATATTTTTTATATAGACAGCGAAAGACAAAAAAAAATAAGACATTGTTGTCATCAATCAGAATCATTCGTTTTCTTGGTTTTTTGTACATTTGTGACTGTTATGAATGAATTAACTTTTATTTGTCTTAGAGTACAAATGGATTAAGATTTTCATTATTGCAGTTGAAAAAAGTATAGAATTTTTAAGACTATCTCTCGTAACTATCTTATTGAAAACGATGGATGAACGTTGATTTAGCTATTTTCTTGTTCTCTTCTATATCGGATATCACTCACTTGAATATGTTTTATGATTAGTTTTCAATTTTTTTTAAAAATCTGCTTAGTGATAATTAATTAACAAAACATATTATAATGGTATGATCAAGAGACACTTCATTTTCATAAGATAATTATCAGAACGGGAAAAAGAAATATGATGGTCGATACAGTTATAATAAATACCAAAGGAAGTTATATAATTTAATATTAAGACTAATTTTAGTGTTCAATGCTGACAATTCCAATACATAGTGCTATCGACCATCATTCCAAAAACATTTACATGTTGTTCCATTTGATCAAGTAGATGCATATATGTTACCCTTAAAAATTATTGTTTCGATATTGACTTTTATATTTTGAATTCAACTACCATGTTGGAATCCTAATCCCACTTCGTTCACCAACTGTAAAATCTGCAATATACATCGCACCATCTGCCCATATAAAACTGTTTTTACATGTCAGCTAATCATCTTGCCAATATCCTATACATTTATTCCCATTTGATCAAGTATATTTACTATTTTCCTATGTCGTATTGTTTTGGAATTCGACTCCCATATGTATTGTCCGATGCGAAACCTAAAGTACCTAAACTGTACTTTTTATTATTTATTCATTCTCCACTATAACTATTTTCATCACTGCAGATCATGCCTCCATTCTTCCATTGTCCATTATAGGTAGAACCATTACTGCATATATAAATACCTTTGTAGTATCGTTCTCCTACTAGAAACTCATGACTATCTGTCGATGTACAAACACCTGTACCGGTTCTCTTATTGTCCCTCTATTTACCATTATATTCACTAGTATCGTTCTACGTTTATAAATAGGTGACCCATGTTGTTTTGACCATTGATTATGTCCTAAGACAGAGAAGATCAGGATGATGTTGGTGTAGCAAGTATTATAGTGTGATCAAATGTTATTACTTTATTTGTAAAAATGGATTAATTATTAGTTGTTAATGTCTTTGTAGATTTCGAAAGTTTTGTAGACGTCGTTCATTTAGATGAATGGCATGGACATCATTAAGTTTGAATAGATTTTCGATGACTTCCAGGCATGTGCTAGGCAGTAAGATTATATCTTCTTCGTTTTGGTAACTTGAATGCTGGCAAATGCTTTTTCCTTTCATGCAGTTTATTATTAATAAAATATTTTGTCTATGTTTCTAAAAGATCTTTCGCGATATTAATATTAGAAATGCACGATCGTGACACACCATCGTCGATCTATTTTTTCTTTTTGAAAACGATCAGAACTGTTTTGTGTTATATCTTTGTCGATCCTGCGTCAAACTGATCTTTTATTCAGAAATGTTGACTTATTCAAAGTCCCGTGTAGAGATTTTGAGACTATCAATCTTTATTTATCTTGAATAATCTATATTTGACCTTCTGTTGAGTTCAACAGCTTCCATTGTGTGTAATGATTGATTCATCATCGTAGAAATGGGAATTTATAATTAATTCTAGAACGTACTATGTTGATAGGTTTTCAATAGAAGCAATCTATAACTGAGGAAACGTTCCAAGAATTGAAATATACATACTTTTCGATCAGTATGACTATTGCTGCAACTACTAAAAGAATATTGTGAACGTATAAATTATATAGTTTAATAATTTGCTGAATGTTCATACTATTCTGCTTCGTTTGTCATTGAAGCATCGACATTGAAGGAAACTGATTTTCAGACTTTCTCTTAAGATTCGTAAATTAATCAGTAGTTCGCATGAGAAAATTAGGTGATATTCTCCATATCTCAGATTTCGAATCTAAAAACTCTAAAGTCATTCAGAAATGTAGAGTTTTCAAGTAGCTATAGAATTGGATGATACATTAAGAACATTTGTTTTTTTTTATTCAATAAATTTCTCATTCAGTTAGCAAGGAATCAATGTGAAACATCATGTTATTCTCTTAAGTAAATAGCAGAGTAGCAATATTATTTACTAAAGACAAATATTATTAAAAATTACACTTATTATTCTATCAAATTAGTTATGAATATAATGCTTTTCTCTTTTCCTTAGTTTAGTATTTCATTGATGATATTGATATTTAGACAATGGGTGATTGTCTAATACATACGACGTTTTCAGGATCACCTTTTAAATACGATCAATAGTAACGATTAGAAAAAAAGCTGTTTGATGAATATTTTCAGACGGAGTTTATTGAAAGATGTTGGACAATTGACTTACTTTTATCTTACCAGGATCCAAGTTATTGTTGCTAGAATAAACCTATCTCATTATTATAGTGCTAGTAATTTTGGTTGCTTTATGTTGTCAGTTTTATAAGTTTGTCTATTTCAATCAGCTAACTACTATCTACAAAGTATTACATAAGATTTTGAAGGATTTAACTAAATATTAATAAGATGGATCTTATTATCTTTCCTAAATACTTGTTTTGAAATGCATACTTAATCGACCGATATTTTAGTATTAAAATGATGCGTTTTATTCGAAAAAATACATTATTAATCCAATCATATATGAATAAGATTCCAGAAAAACTATTTTATCGAAATCTGAAATCAACTCGCCATTTCTTTGAGCCTGTCATACCAATCATGTTCTATAAAAAGGCACTGTATTCAAATTTAACATAAACTCGCAAGCGAACTAATTTTTCAAAGCCATATTGTAAATATATAGTTTTGCTTTAGTACTTATTTAAACTACGTCGTTAAAAAAATCGACTTCGTATTCTTACCTGGAAAAATGCTCAAGACTCAATTAAGCTTCGACAAGAAAAAATACAATACTTTTACTTTTTCATTGATAACTGCATTTTGATAACTTTATGTCTTATAAGATTTTTTATACGAGAAGCTTTTTGTGTTGTTGTAATTTATATCTAGTAAATATCATCGATTTTGACTTTTAGTATGATTTATATATTCATTTAATACAGGCAAATATTTGATGATAAACCTATAGTAACAATTATAAAGATGTCATAAGTCACAAATCAATATATCATTTAGGTAAGAGAGAAATAGTTCTTTTTATTATATTCCCATTAATCAAGGAATACAAATAGTGTCCGCCCATCGTTTATTACTGAGGTGATGGTAGATAAAACTGTTTGAAGTCCATTCATTCCTAAAATAAAATTTATAACGATCATTCAGCATGTCATAAACGTGGCGAAATACAATCCTATTTCTGTAGGATGTGGATGCGGGTGTGCGTGTGAGTGTGTGTGGGTGTAGGTGAGTGTGGGTGTCGGGTGTCGGGTGTTGGTGTGGGTGTCGATGTGAGTGTGTAGGTGTGGGTGTGGGTGTGGGTGTGTGAATATGGATGTGGAGTTGATGTGAAGGAGTGTGACTATGGATATGAATCCTCCCTTCATTCACATCCACACCCACGTACGCTCGAGTCCAGAGTCAGAAACGTACCTCATTCAACCAGGGTTCCCCAACTTCTGATAATTTCTCATAAGTACACATGCGTTATTAATCTTTGTGTGTGATTGAAAGTCAGACGTGCAGAGATGTCATCAACGTGTTTCTCATAGAGAGAATTTTGAATGCTTGAAATAAGTGGCAATAATTTTTGGTTTTTGAAATTTTTAGCTTGTTCAGATTAGAAACGGAACAAGCTTATATTCGGTGTTCTACATAAAAGATATCAAGATTTTTGAGTAGAGATTTAAGAGCCATTGCATGTAAGCCACGACCTGGAGTGCTCAATCGACCATCTCCGATTTCGTTCATTTTTATATATGTGATAGAGGAAAGTGTTTGATGATGTTTGCCGAAAATCGCATCGAAAAATATTGATCCACTGTGTTTTTATTGAACTTCTACGAAAACTCCCAAAATTCTCGATCATGAGAAAACCGTTCATTGTTACGACTGTATCTCGAGAATGACTGAACAGATCGAGCTGAAACTTTCTATGAACACTCATAGCTAATGATGCTATCATCAGTAAAAATTTCAAACGAATCGCTTGTATCGTTGGTTTTCTGCAAATATCCTTTGGAGGGGTGAAAATGCTAATTTTACCCAGCTTTGAGATCCTACATCTGACGACTACAGCATGATGGAGTCTTGAAACTTTTTTTGCAAACAGATCTTGATGATATCTTATTTCGGTAAAAGTTTTAGCTTGCCTGTGCAAAGTGTTCGTTTTTAGCAACCTAAGCAGAGTCGGGTTTTTCGTAAAAAGCGCGATTTGAGACGTTGGCGGTCTCAAAAAATATACAATAGCTAATGAACGGAACAGTTGATCCTGAAAGCCTCATCTTTGGTCTACAACTTGGTGCAAAAATCTACGTGAAATCTCTATGGGAGCCTTGGCCATAGGGGCTGCGCGGCTACCCCTATACCAAATAAGTGACTTTTGACCCTAAATCTCAACAGCGATGAGGAAAGCTATTTAGACATGATATATAGGTAACTTTTCACGGAGAAAACGATGGTGATAATATCAACTGTGTTCATATTCAAAATTTAGTAAGGGAGGGAGGGGGGGCTGAATAAAGAAACAATAGTTCATGGTTTCAAAATATAGGATTTTTGTATAGCGTTGAAGCGGATGAAGTTTAAGAATTAATTATGTGTATTTTGAACAAGGAGGAAATAGTTTTTTTCGCACACTCAACATTATATTTTTCGTCAAGTGTTGTATCGCATAAAGAGAAGAGTCAATAATTGGTGGTGCGATACCGAAAAAAAAAATTGACTTTTCCTTTCTTCACTATATATCACACGATATATTTGCTGAATGATGAGATTAAGATTAATCAAGCATGACGGAGGTGAGAAAGAGAAGGAAAAGAAAGAAAAAAAAATGATAAATAGAGAAGAGTCATGAACAACACTCATTTCTATGTGTAATAATGTCTGATCAACAATCATACTATCGTCCTGGTCAAGGTGTACCACCTTATCTCCTCTGTCGAAAAGATACTGATCCAAGCCTTTACAGCGATGGAGCTTCAAGGATCTTCGATCCCAATCTGTCAATGATATCAGCGAGGGACACTGATTATTCATCTGTGTCACTGAATTCGCACAGAATCTCGTCTCTTAGTAATTGGTCAAATTCGACTTACTCTTGTACAACATCGAACTCTTTGGCGAATATTAATTTGGAAAATAACTCAGGGTGTGTAACTTCCTCGATAATTGGTGTAACAGGAACAATTGGAAATACTAGTGGGGCTATTAATAGTTACGGTCAGTTAAGTGTCAATTCAATTAGTTCCACTACTTATTGTAATAAACGGAAAAATCAAGGTATTGACTCTGGGTGTGGGTGTGTGGATGGGTGTGGATATGGGTGTAAATCTTCTTTCACATGATACCCATACCCACACCCACACCCACACCCACACCCATACCTACCCACACCGACACCCACATCGACAGCCACAAACCCAAACCCCACCCACACACTCACATCCACACCCCACACCCACCCACACCCACACCCACACCCTATTTCCATTATCATCATTACTGTAATATAGAACTATTATTTTATATATTTTAGCAACTAAGTCATAAATTTTATCGAGATATTGTATTTTTAATTAAATTATTAATTACTTGTTTCATATAAAGAATTGATGAAAATTTATCATTTAATGTTTCGTTTGATATAAATAAAATAAGTTTTACCACCAAGAAATTTGTGATTATTAATATTTTTATTCGATGTATTACCATTTTCTTTAGAAAATCTTAATAGTTTTACAAAAATCTCAATACTACCAATTTTTAAATGTTTTATAGTATTATTGAAAATATTTTTAAAAATATCTGTTGTTAAATTTCGTTGTTCGATAATTATATAGATGATTATTTTGTTTAACAAAGGTCGATTACAATAATAGAAGAATTTGTCATTTTTGACAAATGAATTTCATTTGTTTCTTCCTTTTTAATAAAATAAAGCTGAATTGAACAGTTTTTAATAGCTATATCATATAAATTCAATGTTTCATTATAATATTTCATTTCTCTATAAATATTTCTAGTTATTCTATATGTCTGATAGACATTCTCTTTATCAAGTATTTCTAAATATTGTTTAAAATTATTTAATGCAGATTGATATTTTTCTTTAATATGTTCAATTACACCAAATCCAACATGACAAGTAATAATCCATGACAATGGATTTGAAATATGTAATAAAGTTGTATAGAATCGTTCTGTTAATCGAATATTAACATTCAAAATAGATAAATTTCAACTTTGAAAAGTTTTCTAAATTTACTCATTCTTTCCAGAACATAGCCTTCCATTAATTTTGCAATTTAAGTGAAAAGATTTTCATCGGATCGAAAGTGAGATACATGAAAATTAGAACCAAATGTAAATAAAATTTCTTGTTCTACACTGCCAAAATGACTTACGGATGATATGTCGCAAAATATTAATTATTTGTATTTAAAAGATAATAGTTTGATTTTGAATAAACCTGATTGGAGTTTATCAGTTAGTAAATGACTTTTAACATCAACATAAATATCTAATATTAATTATTTTTCTTCTAAAGAACCAAGTTCGCTTTTGTACATTAATTAACCACGATAATAAACAGTTTCTGTCGAAATCGTTTTTTTTATATTCCGATCAGAAATAAAATAAAATACTCGACATCGAGCAAATGAAATATTTTATTTAACATGTGGTAAACAAAACTATCTTGTTGTATATGAAGTTATCGATGTACCTGGTGATCAGTCACGCATAAATTTTATAACATTTTCTACCTGTTGTGATCCAGTATATTCCTTGTGAGATTTGAAATATTCAATAAGAGATCGTCGATCATCATTTTCTTTACCTGTTTTGATTAATAACTGATTAATTTGAAATACCATAATAATTTTACTTACTTTTTTATAAATATTTGTTCGTAAATCAATTAGATTTGCTGAATTATAGACATAAACAATTGAAGACATTTCTAGTCTTTTGTGATTCTAATATTTATTGCTTTCATTCTGACAACAATTATTGGTAATCATTTATACCAACCACCTTCCTTTCGACGTTCTAACTCATTCAGTATGTCCAAAACATATATATTTTTTGAGATTTTACGTATATTATTTAATTAATAGTGATATGCGATCACTATTTGTTCATTCAGAAATCCTTGTCGTTCAGTCAGGTAACTATAATAAGAAATAGTGCTTCCTGAAAGAAAAAAAACAGTAAAAGGAAGTAAAAATTAATCTTCTGATTGTTATTGTCACAATTTATAGCTTAAAAGAAGAACAAGATAGCGAGATCGACATTCTATAAACCAAAATCTTTTTGTCAATGAGAAAAGAACGGTATTGTAGATGTTACTATAATGCAAACTTATATATCTACACACCGATGATAAAAATAGAGTGAGGACAATCGAAGAAAGATTTTAGATAGTCAAGACAATGTATTGAATTCACTTCAAAGTTCATTTTCAATCGTTTTCAATGTATAATTGACAATGAAAATTCTCTAGCGAGAACGTGTTATATAGCAAGATTACTAAATGAAAAAAAAAATATTGCAATAGTTAAATTGAGTAAGTTTTCAAATGGTGTCTTAACATGATCGCCTAAACTTAACTCATCATTGTAGATCGACTCCCAGATTGATCAGAAAAAGAATTTAGAGTAGACTTATTGAAAATAGTTTCTGAAATTTTGCTTGACAGTATATGTTTAGACTGTTTAGGAAAGCTTTTTATCGTTTTTTCATCCGTATTTTCTCTCATTTTAGTATGTTCGCTACGATTACTGTTTTCCTTTCCTATCTTTGTATTAATTATGTATTATTTCTTCTAACACTGTCCCATGAGTTATCATCTCTGTAATATTGTAGTTAGTTCTATCTGTTCTTGGCTGGAAGGAGTATTGAGTTCTATGTTCACAATGTAGAGTCGTATCTAACATAAAATCTTTTCGTTGACTACACAGCTCTATCAAAATTTAATTCATCTTTCTTACACATTGCACGTGCATCAAGACTCAAATTGTACTTGTTATCAATGCATCGTCAACACTACGACGTATAATCTAATGTTGTCATTCTGTGACACTATATCTTTCTATTCTCACATGATACAGCATAATTTAACTTTACTTTTGCAAAGTATCATGACAGCGCGAAACTTATTACAACTATATAAATTCATATGAGTCTTTCATTTCGAAAAACAATTATATTTTCGTTGACAAACAAGAATATCATTATTACATACAGCAAGTATGAAAGTAATCATCGCCCTTTGTGTTCTCTTTGTTGGTGCCTATTGTGTACCTGTACTTGATGATCAACTCAATGATGAATGGAATTTATTTAAACGTGTTCATGAAAAACAATACAATTCAGTCGAAGAAGAAACTACTCGGTATGTTATTCGATAGTTCAATATTTTATTATTGACAGGAAAAAAAATTATTCTTCGTCTCTTTCTATTATAGCCGAGCTATTTGGGAAGCTAACCTTGCTAAAATTCGAAAACATAATCTTGAAGCTGATTTAGATATTCACACATACACTTTAGGAATGAATCGATTCGGTGATATGGTAAGATAACATTTTTTGACAGCATAAAATATTAAAATAGACTATGATATTGATTTATTTAGACTCATGAAGAATTCAAAACACAAATGAATGGATTCAGAATGTCAGCTAAAACTCAAACAGATGAATATGATCGTCACACATTCTTAGCTCCATCAAACGTTGTTATTCCAGCTGCTGTCGGTATGTTTTGATCATCATAATATCTATCAAAAGTGCATCAAATATTATCGTACAATATTTTGTATAGATTGGCGTAAACAAGGATACGTAACACCAATCAAAGATCAAGGACAATGTGGCTCATGTTGGGCTTTTTCAGCTACTGGCTCACTTGAAGGACAACACTTTGCTAAAACAAAAAAATTAGTTTCACTTTCTGAACAAAACTTAGTTGACTGTTCAGATAAATTCGGTAACATGGGTTGTGACGGTGGTTTGATGGATCAAGCTTTTCAATATATCAAAGCTAACAAAGGTATTGATACTGAAGTAAGTTATCCATACGAAGCTCGTGATGGTAAATGCCGATTCAAAAAAGAAAATACTGGTGCTACTGATACCGTACGTATTATCGTTGTACTGAAAAGCTTTCGAAATAATGAACAATGACTAATTATGTTGTGTATAGGGTTTTGTTGATATCAAATCAACAAACGAAAGTGCTCTTCAAATTGCTATTGCTACAGTTGGTCCAATTTCAATTGGTATTGATGCTTCACAAGATTCATTTCAATTCTATAGTTCAGGAGTTTACAATGAACCAGATTGTTCATCAACAGATCTTGATCATGGTGTCTTAGCTGTTGGTTACGACAAAGCTGGTAAACAAGAATATTATATCGTCAAGAACTCCTGGGGAACATCATGGGGTCAAGAAGGTTACATCTGGATGAGTCGTAACAAGAAGAATCAATGTGGTATTGCTACGGCTGCTAGTTATCCTCTTGTTTAACTCGATGAACAACCAGTCGAGTAAAAAATATAAACTGCACAGCGTTTCATATCTTATAAATCACGATTTTTGTATTGTTATTTGAAAATAAGTCTTAATAATAAATATGAAAAGAACTTAAAATAATTATTTTCGATCGAATAATTAGTTTACCTTTTAAGTTAACCGACATGCTTCTTCTAATCAGTGTCAAGTGTAGATTACTATGAAAGAAACTTTTTTCTCTTTTGAGTTCTATTTTTCTGGTTATTGCTGCCATACTCAAATTTCCATAGATTTTTACGTATCGATATATGAAGTTTTTAACATGTCCAATTGGGTGTGGGTGCGGGTCTAGATCTCTTATTCATGCATACCCACATCCACACCCAGACCTATTTATTTCTATAGTTTCATATATATGAAAGAATATGAAAATAGATTTATTTACACTGCCGAAATATTTATCAAGTGATTCAACATAACGATGAATTGTTCCAAATGTTAATAATTCATTATCTTCTTGTTTAACAGCACAACCAAAATAAAGGCTAGCATATTTTTATAAATAAAAAAGCCAACAACAAGTTATTTACTCAAAATAAATTGAATCTAAACAAAAAAACAATCATTATTTTCTGTCTTGAAAATTCAATTTACTAAGAATCATTAACATACATATCACTCAGGGTTAAGTATAATAAGAGCAGTTGTTTTACTTCAGTCATTGGTTAATGATCAGCAGTATATTTGGCAAGTAGAAACCGTTTCTAGATTGCTGTCTCAGTTAAAATTGAAATTATGCTTCTTCTTGTTTCGTTCATATTATCGGCATAAATATCATACGCATAACGAGACAAAAAAATCGAATCAATGATATCTTAGTTCGTTTTTTCGTTCCTGTTAGAAAGAGAAAAAACAAGATTCTTTAAAATAAACAACGTATGAGACAAGGTATCTAATACAATAACATTGAAGTTATCGCACACATAACAAATAAATGCAAATCAGAAAGAAATAATCATAAAATAAATGACATTGATGGTTTTGTCCTTTTGATTTGTTGTTTACAACAATATTTTCGATTGAAACTAGAAAATGTTTGTTACTGAGTGTCAATGCAAAAAACAAAAATTACTCACATGTGATGACGTAGAAAAATCTAGAAAAAAAACCAACGCACATCGCATGTATAAATAAAAAAGGTAAAGTCTGTATAAATAGGAATTTATTATTCAATCATACTCCTTATTGATTAACCAGCAAAATTACTTCTCAAAATGAATGGACAACGAAGACGACATACGGCTGAAAATTATTTGGTCATCTGGGTCGATGGCCATATCGATATAGCAAGTGAAGACTGTCAATATACTCTTGCTCGATTACGCGAAATTGTCAATCAAGTAAATATTTGTAAAACGGTAGAAGAATGTATTCAATGTCTCCAGGAAAATAACGAAGAGACATCATTTGTTATTTCCTCTGGTATACTTGGACAACATCTTCTACCAGATATTCATGGCATGTCAAACTTAGATGCCATTTACATTTTTTGTCGCGACAAGAAACGTCACAAAGCATGGGCCAAAAATTGGACAAAAATAAAAGGTGTCCATACTACAATCAAGTCCATATGCAAAGCATTGCAAATAGCTGTGCAGCAATGCAATCAAAATACTACATCAATAAGTATTATTGGTGCGAATGAAGTTAGGTCTAGTGAAAATCTCAATCAGCTAGAACCGACCTTTATGTATACACAAATATTCAAGAAAATCCTTCTTGATACGCAGCATGACCAAGAAGCCATTAAAGACTTGGTACAGTTTTGCCAAAAATTATACCAAGGCAATACCAAAGAACTCAAACTAATTGATGAATTTCAACGTAGTTATCATCCAACATTGGCCATTTGGTGGTATACCCGCGACTGTTTTACATACAAAATGCTCAATGCAGCATTACGAACATTGGATGGTGATATTATCATCTGAATGGGATTTTCTCTATGTGATGTGCACCGACAAATTCAAGATTTACACCACAAACAGGTTAATCAGTATCGTGGGAACTCATTTATAGTTTATAGGGGCCAAGGGTTATTGATATCACACTTCGAAAAGCTCTCAAAAAACAAAGGTGGTCTAATATCGTTCAACAATTTTTTATCCACTAGTACATATAGAAATGTCTCGCTAGGCTTTGCCAAGCATTCCTTACACACAATCAATATGGTCGGTATCCTTTTCCAAATAACCATAGATCCCACGGTCTCAACAACTCCTTTCGCCTCCATCCGAGAGGAGAGTTATTACAAGAAAGAAGAGGAAATTCTCTTCTCTATGCACACAGTTTTTCGAATTGGTGACATTCAAAAACTTGACGAGACAAATCCACTTTATGAAGTGAACATTAAACTTACATCAGATGATGACCAACAACTTCGTCAATTAACCGACCGTATACGAGAAGAATCTTCAGGTAGCACTGGGTGGCATCGAATGAGTAAATTGCTGCTCAAAATAGGTCAATTGGGCAAAGCCGAAGAATTGTACACGACACTACTAGAACAGACATCCAACGACAGTGATAGAGCACATATCTATCACCAGCTTGGATGCTTGAAAAACGGCCAAGGACAATATACAGAAGCAGTTTCATTTCACAAAAAATCTCTCGAAATCTCTCGAAAAACTCTACCAGAAGATCACCCTTCATTGGCTCCTACCTACAACAACATCGGTGTAGTGTATAAGGACATGGGTGATTACTCGAAAGCACTTGAATTTTACGAAAAAGCACATAAAATCTACGAAAAAGCTCTGCCTCCGAATCATCCCGATCTGGCTACTTCATACGGGAACATTGGTCAAGTGTATAAGAACATGGGTGACTACTCGAAAGCACTTGAATTTTACGAAAAAGCACATAAAATAAAAGAAAAAGCTCTGCCTCCGAATCATTCCTCATTGGCTATTTCCTATAACAACATCGGTCAAGTGTATAACAACATGGGTGAGTACTCGAAAGTACTTGAATTTTACGAAAAAGCACATCTAATCCTCGAAAAAGCTGTCTCCAAATCATCCGCATTTGGCTACTTCATACGACAACATCAGTGGAGTGTATAACAACATGGGTGACTATTCGAAAGCACTTGAATCTTACGAAAAAGCACATCAAATTTACGAAGAAGCTCTGCCTCCGAATCATCCCAATTTGGCTACTTCATACAACAACATCGGTGGAATGTATAACAAAATAGGTGACTACTCGAAATCACTTGAATTTTACGAAAACGCACATAAAATAAAAGAGAAAGCTCTGCCTCCGAATCATCCAGATTTGGCTACTTCATACAACAATATTGGTTCAGTGTATTTCTACATGGGAGACTACTCAAAAACACTTGAATTTCACGAAAAAGCACATAAAATCTACGAAAAAACTCTACCTCTGAATCATCCAAATTTGGCTCTTTCCTACAACAATATCGGTGCATTGTATAACGACATGGGTGATTACTTGAAAGCACTTGAATCTTACGAAAAATCACTTAAAATCACAGAAAAAGCTCTGTCTCCGAATCATCCGAATTTGGCTATTGCCTACAACAGCATCGGTCAAGTGTATAAAGACATGGGTGACTACTCGCAAGCTCTTGAATTTTACGATAAAGCACATCAAATCCTCGAGCAAGGTCTGCCTCAGAATCATCCCCATTTGGCTTCTTCATACAACAACATCGATCAAGTGTATAACAACATGGGTGACTATTCGAAAGCACTTGAATTTTACGAAAAAGTACATAAAATTTACGAAGAAGCTCTACCTCCGAATCATTCCTCATTGGCTGCTTCCTACAATAACATTGGTTCGGTGTATAATGAGATGGGTGATTACTCGAAAGCACTTGAATTATTCGAAAAATCATATAAAATCCTCGAGGAAACTCTGCCTTCGAATCATTCCAATTTGGCTTTTCCATACAACTGGTTAGGAAGAGTTTATCGCAGTATGAAAGATTACACAAGGGCACTTGAGTATTTTGAAAAGGCTCTCGCAATACGTCAACAAACGTTACCTGAAACACATCCCAATCGGGCTATTACATACAGTGACATTGGTAATGTTCATCGATTAATGGGTAATTATGAAAGGGCACTTTCATTTCATCGAAAAGCATTAAACATTCAAGAAAATGTTCAATGTAATCCTCTGGAATGTGCAACGACATATACAAACTTAGGTGAAACATATCGAAAAATGAAAGATTATTCAACCGCATTGACATATTTTCGAAAAGGATTACAAATACGTGAAAAGAAACTACCAAAAAATCATCCAGATATAGCTGTAATATATCACAGTATGGCAAAGTTATATTTGTCTATTCGACAATATAGTATGGCAATGAAAAATGTTCAACAAGCGTTAGAAATTGCTCAAGAAAAATTACCTTCAACTCATCCTCATCTTTTGGATTATAGAAAAACATTTGAAAAAATTCGAAAGAAGCTGTAATTTTCTTTTGTTTTTCGTTTGCTCAATAAATTCGTTTGAATTCTTATTCGCTCACTTTTGCGTACAAGCGCGCGGGATCAGGCAAAAGCCTTGTAAGCATGCCACAGGTATACACAGAGCAGACCACGCCGGACTAGTAGGGCAATGAACGTAAGTATGCCGTACATAATGACGACAGAGACCTACGAACATCGAAGGCCTTCTCGAGTACCACACTGCTATCTTCATAGCGGTACAAACAGTTTCTCTCGCCTAGGTCAGATTACGAAGCCATCTGACAGGCTGTGATATAAATTTGCATCTATCTCCTAACATAAATAACGTAGACATTGAATAATAATATACACTAAATGTGTACAACAATGAAGAAAAAAAAATTATTTCATCCGAAATAAATCATCTACATCTCATTTTAACATTATCTCAAGTATTGTTATGAAAATTTAATTTAGAATTATTCTCCCAAGAAAACAAAAAAGAACTATTTTTATCTTTCAACTATTTAGTTATTTGTTCTAGTCTTTCTCAAGATAAGGAAGATAATTTTGAAGTAACATACCTATTCTTGTGTTATTGGTATACATCAATAATAAATCATGTAATTTTTTAACATTATCATGTTTTCATAATTTCATATAATTCAAAACGAATGAATTATAAAAACATCATGGAATAAATTTCATCATAAATCAATGTATCCTAATATATATTATACACAGGTGGCCAAAAGTATCCCCCCCCCTCGGATCTCCGCTACTATATATATTTTTTTCTCTTTATTTTGTTGTGTGTATGTGTATGCTTGTCTTTATTCTAGTTTTTTTTGAGTATGCCTGATTTATTACGTCCGTAGACGCTTATAATGGGATAACGTGATACGAGAAGGCAATGATATAACAAACATTAAGGAGAAAGAAACACGATACAAATGGATACTTCAAAGATTACATGGTAACAAAGGAACAGGTAGAAAGAATGCAAAGGACGCACAATAAACAAAAATGTAAAAGAAAACAAAAAAAAAAGAGAAAAACAGGGAACAAAGGTAAAAGAAAGGAAGGGAATCAGGTTTCATCTTTCTCTGAGTGGTTCTTTATAAACTGGATCCATTGAATTAAGAGTGACTCGTGTCTTTCCACCATTTTTCTCATACTTGCTAATCTGAAGAAATGTTCTATATTCAAACTTTGTTGGCATATATCTATTTGTTGTTGTTTACCTTTGCTTATGAGAAAAGCCCAGTTAAAATGGATCGTTATAGAAAAAAGAAACCTCTAAGTCTGAACTGAATTCACGATTCAGACACTTATGTACATAGGTTGTAACATATGATTCTAATGAATGTTCTTTTAATGCTGATGAAATTCCATGAACTGAAATAAATGGACTTCTATGTACTAGTCTTAAGCCTGCTCCAAACTTGCGTTATAATACCGTTTGTTGGGCAGAAGGTAACAGGGCGAAGAAAGAGAAAACTATATGCGAAGAAATATAGTCTCAATACTTCAGTTGTCATTCGAGAGAAAGTTTGCCTGTCCATTCCAATCCTAAATATTTGAATCTTTTCACACATTCAAGTTGCTTTTCATCCATATATATTTGGATGTTAGGTTGAACAACTTGTGTATAAAACAGCTGAACAACTGTATTTTTTCACATTTATCGGTTGCTTCAATTTTTGAGCGTATTCAAAGAGATTTTGACATATTTCTGCTCCCTTTCTATGAATGTATTCTAATATTTTTGTCTATATCCTCTTTTTTCTCTTTGATCTGACACGTCTTTTTGTTTACACTTTACTACATCACATTTATTTGGGGTGTGAGTCATCGAGAAGGTTGCAACTCGTCACGTGACGAGTTGCACTTTTTAGAAAAAACAGGGCTTTCGTAACACCAAAAACAGCGATATATGAGAAAACAGGGATTTCGTAACGAAATTTACAGGACGATCGTAACGATTAATACAGGGAGTTCGTAACAGTTACAGAGCTTTCGTAATGAAGCAGCAGGGAATTCGTAATGAAATATATATTAGTCCTGCCTCATTTATGTACAGAAATCACATGGATTTCGTAACGAATTTTACAGGGCTTTCGTAACAGCTTAAATAGAATTTCTCACGGTGTATTTCAAAGAACGTTAGAGTGGCAAATCAGGGCTGTCGTAACGAATTTTACAGGGAAGACGTAACCGTTCATACAGGGCTATCGTACCAGGAAAGCATAGTGTATTGAGTTAGATGTACAGCGTTATCGAACCAAAATATCAGGGCTGTCGTAACTAATCGTCTTGTCTCCGTATATGAAGACAAGACCCGTTGTATACTGAGATTTTCAACTTACTTTACTTCATAAAGAAATCGTACAAAATGAATATAGAAGATAATCTTTATTGACTAGTGCACTGGAAATTAGACATTTATTGAATAATATATTGACACAAAAAACAAGAAAATGAACACTAACTTATGTTTTATTACAAAAAAATACACATATATCTATAGGAACACAAAAGAGAACAAATAAATACCAATGACTAATGTACTTCATGGTTCAGTTTTGTCGTCTTGTTTTGACTTTTTTCTTTGGTTGTGGATCACTACAAACTGTAGGTGCTATTGATTTACTGCATGTTTTCTTTTTACGCCCACCATTGACAGCTGAAGAAGAACTCGATGCTTGAGGAGTACTGTCACATGTGGTACTGCTAATTTTTGTATTCGATGATGGAGATGTAACATTATTCTTTATTTGTTTACGTCCACGTAATCGTTGAGCCATTGGTGTTCAGCATCTATTTATCTGAGTTGAAGAATTAGTAGCAGCAGCATGAGTACGTTTTCTAGGTTTTGTATCATTATCATTTGAAGGTGGACTGGCAACCGCTGTTGCTGAAGATGATAATGGCGAACGAGGACTTTGTGAACCTTTGTTTTGTTTTGATGCAGGTTCTGCTGCTATTACTGTTGTTGTCATTGATACAACTTTTATTTCTGGTAATAGGTCAATTGCATAATCAATACTTGTTTTTCTGTGTTATATCAACACCGGAATGAACTATATTTAAACAAATCTGGATTCGTTCACGAGCAATTATTACTTGTGCATCTTCATAATGTTGTTCAACATCTTTAATTGTTGGATATGCACCCCTATGTTTCATATAATTAATAATATAGGTTAAAACTTCGACGGTTTCTTCTTTATTTGTATAGATTTTAAAGAATTTACCTAGAATATGTAAAAGATAGAAGAGAAAAATAAATGTAGGTTATGGTATTCTTGAAAGTAAAAGGTTTTTCGTTACGAAAGCAATTTTATCTAGTCTTAATGTACAAAAAAAGAAATAGAGCATTTGCTTACCTTTATTCATACCCGCTCCCATTTTCTTATATAGAAAAATTTTTCCATCAGGTGATTCTTTACAAAAATAATATCGATGAGAACCGTCAACTTGTCGTCTTGTCGGTTTAATAAATAACACACCATTCTCTGTACCAAATCCATTGATAATAACAGCAGACATAAAATTTTCTAACTGTCTGAGTAAATCTGAACTTGAAATACATGGCCATCCTTTTGCATATTTTGAATCATCTTGTAGATGCAATACCATATCCTCTAAAATATAACTAAAGTAGAAAAACACAGATTATTTTTAAAACTAGAAAATCATTCACTCGAGAGGAACCCACCAAAACATTGATATTCTGAACCAGTATTAATTGTCAAAATAAAATATTTATTAGTATTTGCCATGTTGATCAACAGTTATATATTTAAAGCATATAGAAATTGGTTTAACTTATTGCTTTTGTTTTGTTTATAATGTGTGGAGAGAAGACTGAGATTGTGAAAGACACGATTGAAGACGAGCTAAAGAGAGAAAACAGATAAAGAGACAACAGTTGAGATTGTTGTTTGTCAAAATCTAGAAAAGAGAACAATAATAAAGAAACTTTTTTAATTAAATAAACGGCCTATTGCAGAACACCAGGTTGAAAAAAAGTGGAATAGAAAGAAAGAGAAGAAAAGCAAGCAACAACATATAGAACACCATTCTTTACGCTCTTTACTTGCTCGTACTCCAACACTTCACCATCGTTGTTGTGCTGCTTTCTTTTTTCTTCGTTCATCACGAAACTTCTGATATTTCAATCCTATTAATCTAGATAGTTGAATCAATGCGTCATTCATTGAAATTTTCTTCATGGATAAGTTTTATTAATATCAATTATATTTTGTGCAATTTGTGGTGTGGCAGTTGAGCTAGATGATGCAGCTTGATTTGATTTTAAAATCCCACCTTGAATCTGTGCCAATTTAACACGTACTCCAGTTTCTTCTAATATTAAAACATTAATAAATTGCCAGAGTGATGGACGACGAACTGTCATTCGTAGTTTTAGAGCAGCATTATATACTAAATAGAAGAGAAAATTGTAGATTCATCTTTTAAAAGAAAAACAGGGTGATTATAACGAAGTCTGTGAAAATACTTATTGTTCGAGAGCAATCTAACATTGTGTATGTATGCACATACATACGTACACGTTTTACTGACTTTTTTTTTCTTGTCGAATTATCTTTCTCTTCTATATGGGTCATATGATTCTCTCGTCTTGTCCATATCTAGGTCAATTCTTTTCGTCGTCCGTTTCAATCATAGAAATTTTATTTATTTACGTTCACATAATATCAAATGGACGGGTATACTCTGGAAATTTCACTTCTTATCTTTGTTTTCTTTATTCTTTTTTCTCTTTCTTTGCGGACGTTTGTATTGTATTAAAATGATTCTTTTCTTCAAATAAGCAATTAGTTAAATAACTAGTCAGTTTGTAAAAGAATCAATTTCTCCCTTGATTTCGATATTCGTTCAGAAGGTCTTCTTTAATACTTACTCTCACTGAAATTATTTGTTCTATATTCTTTTCCATAAACATTGACCATTTGAATATGTCCTGGTTTCAACCATTGATTGTAATAGTAGACAAACAAACGATTTAATTCAACTTTACATTGCTTCAAATTTTTATTTTCATCAATTTCTTTTTCTATCAAATTATACCCAACAATCATTAAATCAGGTTTTAACATGGGTAATGACATTAATTTTTTAATAAGCAAATAAACATGATCATCGATTAAATAATTCTTCCATAAACCATATTTCTTTAAACGTTTAATGATGGATTTTAAATAATGAAAGAAGCATCCATCATGAATTGTTTTAGGAAACTAAAAAGAAAAGAAAAAAAAAAGTAACTTTCGTTGTCATCGCTGTGATAAACATTTAGTTACAAAAGTCATATCCTTTTGCAAACAGTAAAAACAATACTCACTAATATTGTAAATGTTGATTTGACTGCAGTCTCAAAATCAGTCATCAAACGTGTAGGTGAGAATTTCAATTTTCTTTCTTGTGCTGATGATTGTAAAAGTTTAAATAATAATTGATAAGTCAAGGTTTTCTTGTTATTCAGTAAAATCCAAGCAACTGGTAGTACTAAAAAGCAAAAGAAAAACAAACCAAACATGAATAAAGAGAGAGAGACATAATTTCGAATTTGTGTATTGGAAAACACATCTCACCTATTCCTGATTCATGTAATGCTTGAACTATATAAGTTTGTTTGAATGGACGTGGTGTGACTGCAAAGGTACCATCAGCAAATAATTGTGTGCTGGTGCATAATAATTCAAATTGTTCAGGACCAGAAAACAAAATAATTCTCTTTTGTTCTTTTCCATAAATATGACCAATAACAATAAATTCTTGTTCATCGTTTGTTACTTTAAATTGTTCAGGTATTGAGAATGAAACATCTTTTGGTAGAGTTGGCATATTCTTATTGTGAGCTCGCCATAATGTATATCCTAGAGATCAAGAAAGAAAAAATACAACTAGCATACTTATATGTGCCAGTAAAGCGAAATATAGACAAACACAAGAAATAAAAGTACACCTACTTATGCTTTTAAATGTTAGCAATTGTTTCATTTGTTCATGTGTGAATTTCATTTGTGCTACTAACTTATTATATTGTCCGACTGAAGGAGGAAAATTGGGATCAGATGATAAATCTTTCAATTTTGAAGTAAAAATATTTCTCTTTTGTACAATTGGATTAGGAGAATGATTGTGCTCAGCTGTTGCTCTAATATAGGTATAAACTGGTGAATCTGGTGTACCAGTATTTGGTGATGTAATGATGAAGCATGGGCATCTTTTATTCGGATCACGATACAAATAACATTTCCATTTAATTTCTGTTTTAAGTGGACCATGAATCTGATATGTATAACCATCCAAACAAATATTTATACCACGTTGAGATTTATACCACGGAATAGGATTATCAATAATAGTAGATTGAATTGGTGGAGATGGTTTAGAACAATCTGTTGTTGATATTAGTGAAAGTGAGGACAGATTTAACGAAGAAACAGTGTCGTTTGATGATGTAGAGGATGTGGACGAAGATCGAGAGGATACTGAAGACGAGGATGATGATGAACATGTAGACATAATTGGTGAAGAATTTTTGAATTTAGACGATGATTGTACTGTAACTGAATGTCTGAACAGAGCAATAGAAAAGAGAAATAAAGTAGAGAAGAATTGTAATTAAAAGAATAAAAAAAACTTACTTGCTTTTATTTAAACTTGAACGTGGTATTGATGGTGAGGAAATACGTATATTTCCTCGATTAATTTTTCTGCTTCGACTGTTATTTGATGTAGTCACTGATGTAGATGTAGAAGATGGGAATGACGACAAACAAGTAATAAGACTCTTTGACGATGAAGTAGTGCTAGTAGAAGCTGGAGCAGCAGCTCTTTTCGCTGACCGAGTCTCTACAACCATTAAATTTACAATGTTAAATGGAGAATCATTGTTAGTGTATTAGTATATTAACCAATCATTGTCTTACTGAATAGCTCGGTACTGCTCTTATGTAACACCGTGACATCTATAGCTGTGTAAAGATATAAACAATGTACGTTAAACAGTAAGTTAGATAGAATATCTGAAAAGCTGCGGACGTTCTGAAAGATGGTATATACTATAGCTATAGTCACCTCACAAAAAATAATGAATATAAACATTCTTTCTGTAAAAAGCTTGATTTTTTGTTACGAAAGCCCTGATTCTATTGTTACGAAACCTCTGTTACGGGCTTTCGTACTGTCAATTCGTTACGAAAGCCAGACAGAAAAAAACGTGACGAGTTGCAACTTTCCTGCTTCTACTTGTCCTTGTTGTTACCGTTGCCATGGTAATTTGTGCATTTTCAGTGGCATGAATATTTTATGTCTATCGAAAACGGTGAGTAGACAACAACGAACAAGTAAAATGACATGTTAAATCAAAGACGACAGAGGAAAAAAACGACTATCGGTATACGTTTGGCAGCAAAATTCATCCATGCAACTCGCTTTCATGTTAAAGAAGAGAAAATGTGAATGACAGAATTCTGTATTTGCTAAGCACTCTGCTTCAATTTTTCTCTGTGTTGAACTTTTTATGCTTGCAATGTTTACGAGAGATTTGATTTTTCTTTCTGTTCTCTCGATCCCTTCTAATTCTTACGCGTCCAAAATTCGCCCGTGAAAGAATTAAATAAACGAAAAAAAGCCATCAGTATTCTCCGCTCGCTTCTCAATACTATTTTTTGTTAAGCAACTTCAAGCAAAGGTAACATCTAGGATGAATACTTGTATTCTGGTTTATTAATATATTTTAGAAGCACACATTCTCAACAAAGTACAAAGATGGTTGAAGAGGGAATAGACACACAGAGCGGCACTAACTTCACTGCCGTTGCACGGTAGAGAGTTGTGGTTGCACCAACTGCGAGATCGGATGCTTTCAACCTGAATGCATCAACTGTGGACATACGCTAAGCCAGCATGTCGCTACAAGTTGAGATCACCCACACCTTTCCATTGACAGAACTATTAGCGAAGTGAACGCCTACATTGACACCGATTTCTATTCGTATATATTTACGAGCTCAAGCTTTTTAATAAATGAGAAACTGGAATGAACAAGTTTCTTTTCAAGAATCTATCATTAACTCAGATGGAACTGACAGTAACAGGAATTTGCATAGTTTTGTGCACTTTCCAAGTCAAGGAAAATGGAGCCCACTAACAGGAACTTGAAGCCTGTAAATGAGATAAAAATGATGCATGATGAAGAGTAATGCTTTGCTTTCCAGTAAGTGTCTCTCGTCGGATGTGGCCGTGGGTCTGGATATGGGTGTGAGAGTGAGTGTGGGTGCGCGTGTGATCCTTCTTTTAACTCACATCCACACCCACCAACCCACCCACACCCATGCTCACACCCACACCCACACAGCGCCCATACCACATCCACACAGCACCCACACCGCATCCAGACAACATCCACACCCCACCCACATCACATCCACACCACACCCATACCCACACCACATCCACATCTACACCCACACCTACACCCACCCACACCCACACCCACACCCAAGTTCGAGCTCAAATCGAGATCAATCTCAAAAAATTCGGTATCAAAACTCGAAGTTGGGTTCGGGTTTGGTACATGTCTACATGCGTTGTATATGTGATCA